CGTGTCTGGAGTGTCCAGGAGCAACAGCTAGAATTACCTGAAACTCAGAGAAGCCCAAACATCCATCTGCTGGAGCTGCAGTATAGCTGTAGTGTCTGTTAGGCAGCAGTAGAGCATCTCATATCCCAACTGTGCAGTAGCCAGAGCTGCAGTCTGGAGCAGGAGCTGAAATAACTTGGAACTTCAAATACCTGGAGCATCTCTCGTCCAGAGCATCAGTAGCTGTAGTGTCTATCTAGGCACAAGAGTCAAAGTTGTCCCCAGAAGGTCAGGTGCGAAAGAGCATCTTGCTCAAACTCCTCCACTAAGCGAGGTGCATTTCAGCACAACACAAAACAGCAGGGAGCAGCACTAGGGCTACCACTGGGTCAGACCCCAGCAGTTCTCAGTCCCCCTTCCCTGAACTCCCTTCACAGCTCCCAGCCCCCCAAATGTGAGGCATAAACTGATGGGAGGGGCTTTGTTTGGGGGGGCTGTGGGAGCTCCCTACACAGCCCTTGTGAGCCCAGACTTGCAAACTGCCATGACAGTGAGCACAGAAACCATGACAACAGTGAGCTGAGCTTCCAGCCATGGCTGCGCTGTCAAGGGGTGTCCTACACCCACGTAATGTGTCTACACAAGGTTTGAAAGTAACACGGTACCTACCTGAGGTGAACTGCTCTGCACAGATCTCCTGCACAGATGGACCCTTTCCAGGGATGCCTGGCTGACTCCTGACTCCATGATGTGGATCATCTGTGACATCATTTTAACCCAGTGCTGAGGGATCAGGTGGAGTTGAGAACACAGTCAGTGTGAGTTAATGGTTGGACTCGATGATCTTCAAGGGCTTTTGCAACCGAGATGATGCTATGATTCGACTTTTCCATTGTCCCCACTCCTGGCAACAGTTTGGCAAGTGTCATGCTGGTAACACCTCAGATAATACATACAGGTGTGCCTATAGGTGAGTGATCATACGTATGTACTTGCTTTACTCATCATGATTTGTAGTAGCTTGTAATAAATTCATTTAAACAAAGCCTCCGCATCCTTGTGTACTACAGCATCCTACAAACCTGCTGTTGCAGCCTTCACACAGCTGACGGTCATGTCACACAGGTTGTGGCAGTGACACCTGCCCAGCCAGATGAGCCTGGCCTGAGGCTCCCACAGGGACAGGGACACAGGCCCTGGGCTAACATCACCCAGCTCAGCTTGGCCCCAGAAGGACTAGCCCTGTGCCCAGAAATCACCCCCCAGAGAAGGGGGAAACCTGCCCAGGGCAGCTCCTTGTGCTGTTCCACGCTGTCCAGCCCAGGGTGAGGCACATGCGCACCCCCTCCCCACTGCAACACCCTATGTGCTGTTGCCCTGCAGAGCCCCCAGCAACACCCCACCCAGGCGAGCAGCAACAACTACCACCTGCAGTGGGGTTTTCCTCAGCAACAGCCAGATGCAGCCCTGGTCACCCGACCCCCCTGGGCTCTGCTGTGGGTGCAGCACCTCTTCCACAGTGCGACCCCTGTGCCCCCGCCAGCACAAGAGCTGCCCTCCTGACGGATGGTCAGCTGCAGGGCTGTTTGGTTGCTGCTTTATGTGCTCTCTGGACATCACCTGCAGCTCTTCTGTCCCCTGTCGGTCCTCAGATGAGGTGGGCGCTGGTGCCCCTCACCCAGGTTTGGGGCTGGCTGCTCCTGGCTCCTCACTGCACTGCCATGGCACTGCCTGCTCCCATATCCCTGTGGGGGTCAGAGCTCTGGTCCCCATCCCCACAGCCTGGCCCCTGCATGTGTTGGGGGAGATACAGCTCTGGAGGGGAAACCCTGTGATCAGGGATGGGCAAAGCCACGGGGTCCTGACAGCCCCTGTCGGGATGGGCCAAGGGGTACAAGGGCCCCAAGCGGGAATGACTGTCAGGGGACCCCATCAACCATCACAGCAGGAGGGATGGGGAGGAGTCTCGAGCCAAGGAACCAGTGCCAGGACAAGAGGGAATGGCCTCAAGCTGCACCAGGGCAGGGTCAGACTGGCTCTGAGGAAGGATTTCTTTGCAGAAGGGGTTGTTGGGCATTGGAATGGGCTGCCCAGGGCAGGGGGGGAGTCCCCATCCCTGGAGGGGTTGAAGAGTCGGGTTGACCCAGCGCTGAGGGATCTGGTGGAGTTGGGAATGGTCAGGGTGAGGTTCATGGTTGGACTGGAGGAGCTTCAAAGGTCTTTTCCAACTGAGATGATTCTGTGAAGATGGGGGCAGGAGGAGCCCCACACTGGGCTCACCTGTCATTGGAAGGGGGGACCCCAGCAGTCACAGTTGGGTGGCCTTGGAGACCTCGACCCTGGGTGCTCTTGGCTCATCCCAGAGCAGCAGGGCTGTCACTGAACTGGCCACCCCAAATCAGGCAAATCTGTGCTGCAGGGGGAGGCTCAGTCCCAGCCCCCCTGCCCCTGCTCCATGCCTGGCAGCCTGTGGGCAATAGGGATTTGAGCCCAGCCACCAGGAGCAGGCAGATGTGACCCCGTGTGCCCATGGGCCACGCACAGACCAGCACAGTGACATCTGTCCCCACAGCACATGCAACTTGTCGGCTCCCAGCTCGGGCTGTCACTATGCCACCACCATCTTCTCCTGTTGCACGTGTTTTGAGTGTGCAAACACAGGTGCATGCACTGTCAGGAAGGGCACAGCCTCATCCCTTCACACCAGGGATGTGACAGTGCTGCGGCCACTGCAGAAAAACGTCACAGGAGTTTCAGTGGGAAAAACAAGGGGGTGAGAAAGGTATTTTGAATAAAACCCACTCCTGTTCTGAAGGTTCCAGGACGGAAGCGCAGATGTGCCAGAGCCTGAGTGCCCCATGCAGTCCCAGCCCACTGCCCTCTCTGGGCCAAAAGCACCTTTTTCTGTTAAAAGCAACAAAGCTTAAATCAATCTGAGCCAGTGCTCGGCGGCTGAAGAGTGATCCCAGACCCAAAGTTACCTCTTCCTTGTTCTTTGCCATGGAATAATGGATAAACCCTCGCACCCCCAAGCCCCAGCAAGGCACAGGTTGTCTGAGCTCTTCCACCATGGTGTACTGTTACCAAAACCTGGTCAATGAAGAACTCCCTGATACTCAGTTTATTTGGTGCCAGTACATGGGGGATCGTTCCTCCTAACACACACACTCAGAGACAAAGGCACATTCTTTATAGACATTAAAATAAATAAATAATCATGTAATTTCTGAGAAGTATCCGCCCCTTTCTAGGAAATATGGATATGTTAGTACATAGTGCAAGCATACTAGAATTGGGGAAGGGTCTCTTGTGGTTGTTTTGAGGCAAAGACCTCAACTCAGTTTGCCCATATATCACAGAATCATCACGGTTGGAAAAGATCTTGAAGATCCTCCAGTCCAACCATGAACCTCACCCTGACCGTTCCCAATTCCACCAGATCCCTCAGCACTGGGTCAACCCGACTCTTCAACCCCTCCAGGGATGGGGACTCCCCCCTGCCCTGGGCAGCCCATTCCAACACCCAAAAGCCCCTTCTGCAAAGAAATCCTTCCTCAGAGCCAGCCTGACCCTGCCCTGGGCAGCTTGAGGCCATTCCCTCGGGGCCTGGCGCTGGGGCCTTGGCTCCAGAGACTCATCCCCCCTCTCTGCACCCTCCTGTCAGGGAGCATGACCATGAGGTCTCCCCTCAGCCTCCTCCAGACTAAAACCCCCAGTTCCCTCAGCCGCTCCCGATCAGACCTGTGCTTCAGACCCTGCACCAGCTCCGTTGCCCTTCTCTGGACACGCTTGAGACATTCAATGGCCTTTTTGTAGTGATGGGCCCAAAACTGAACACACTCATCGAGAAGCGGCATCACCAGTGCGGAGTACAGGGGTAAGATATGGTAACTCCCAGTTTAGATTGCTCTTCGGCATGCAGCCTCCCTTATCTTGTTTATACAGAGTTTGTACAGAGAGAGCCTATTACGGTTTGGTTTGGTCCTTGAAACACAGACTGACTTACCTTGTCTGTTTGGCATGCAGACTCCCTTACCTTGTCTTTACAAAGCTTATACAATTATACAAAGGGGCTTGTTGTTTGTATCCTAAATTGCTTAAGTTTTTGGTATAACACCTAACACCCACACCCACAGCTGTGAGGGTCTCATCCCACAGAGCAGCAGTTCCCACAGGACAGGTATGTGCCGAGTGGGACTGTGATCCCCACCATCACACTCCTGCTGCCACCTTCTGTGTCTTGGTGCTGGGGACTGTCCAGGCAGAAATGGGGACGGGTTCAGTGCTCTCAGGCACAGGGTGATGCTGTCACCAGCTCTGCACGCTGACAGCGTCCATGGAGAAGCTGAGCTGTCAGCAGCAGGTTTGGCTTTTGTTTTGTTTTGTTTTATCTTCTCACTGAAGTTTGTGGTCTGGTCTCATCTCAGTGTGGTCTGCATGAGCAAGTCCTTTATCTGATAACATCAGCATTGCTCTGACCACACAGCGTACAAAAGTACAATACTGTCCTCCGGTGCTGCAGGACACACAAAAAGAAATAACAACAAGCAGGCTGAAGGACAAACTCTGCTGTTTACTGCCGGGGGGAATCAACCACAATCGAGGCAACCCCCCCTGAGGTGTGTTTCCCACCAGCCAGAGCAGCGGCAGCTCCTGCCCACAGCAGCTTTGCGGGGCGCAGCGACGCCAGCAGCATCTGCAATGGGACAGGAGAGGAGGGTCAGGGAGCAGGGCCGTGCCTCGCCACATTATCTGCGTGTGTGTGTGTGTGTGTGTGTGTCTCCTAGTCCTGTCTCGTGGCTGGACACAGGTGGTGGGGCCTGAGCAGGTCCCCTGTCCTGCAAGAGGTTCCCAGCAACATTTTGCTGTGGGACAGGTCACCCTTTCACCTGGCCATTGCTGTTTCGGCACCACAGCAACCACAGCAACCCAGTGTCTTAAGTCAGGCGCTGGGGGAAAGGGAGACTCTGGGAACCCACTCAGCTCTGTGTGGCAGTGACTTATAAACCAGCATGCCCAGTTTACCAGAATACACCCAGCTCCTTCCTCCGGTTGATGTCTCTCTTCAGCTGGCAGAGCGCGCACATGGGGCAGCACACAAGAGAGATGAAGTCACCCAGAATGGAGCCCTGCCATGCGCGGAGCATGAATAACCCCTTCCCACGTCAGCTTTTAAGCATTCCACTTTTTCACTGTTAACAGGCCTGGGCAGCTCACCCCTGGTACCCCAGCACATCACTGCTCATGCCCAGCGAGGACTGGGATGGGGCGGTGTGCGGTGGGATTACCTCTGCCTCACATCAGGGATGCAGATGTGTCCCTGGCAACTTCCCACTGTTGTTCTTCCTCTTGGGCACCCCCTTCTCCTTCCCTGACGCACACCCCTGACCCAGTGGAGCAGGCCCCGGCGTCGGTCACTGACCGGGATGTTGTATCTGGTGTGGTAAAGCGTCCTTATGGCCACGCTGGGGCTGCACAGGCAGAACTCGTCCATGGCCCCGGCCACTTGGCACCCCAGGCAGCCGAAGCAGAAGGCTCCACAAATACCTGTGGGACAGCAAGAGACGCGCTTGGCTGAGGGGTGCAAAGAAAGAAGAAAGTGGGGAACGCCGTCTGGGGATGTAGAGCCGTGGCTCTTGACCTCAGATGAGAGCTGCTCCACTGCTGGTACCCACAAAAGTAGAGTTTGCAGCAGGGGCAATGCAGCAGGAGTGGGGAAAACAGCAGAAACGCAGCGTGAGCCAGCACCAGGAACAAGCGGTACGTATGTACTCACACACGCTGAAGTCAGAGCAGCAGTCCAGCAGCCCCGTCTGCCACTCGCCTGCCCGTGGGGCAGCTGAGAAGTGGGGCTGGACTGTGATCATGTGGTGAGAGGCCATTGCCAGCACGGGCTTGGGTCCCTCCAGGCAGTTTGTGGTCTGGAAGGAAAAGCCATCAGAGAAAGATGCTGCAGGTGTTTCCTAAGTGGATGTCCTGCTCAGGCTGCTGCATTCAACAACGGAGAGGACAGCGCAGGTCTCTGAGGGTTCCCCACTGCCAGGACACTGCCATCCCCACCACAAAGTGGAGGCACAGCTCTGCCAGGAGCTGCCACTGTCCTTCGCAGCAAAGCCCTCCCCAAAACCAGCACCCCACCAAAGGCAGCAGCATCTCATCCCCCTGCCTATGCAAGTAAAATGTCTCTGTAGAAACAGGGGTCCTTCTGCTTCAGAGCCTCAGTGCTTCAACACTTCAAGCCTGTCTTTTAACACCCAGTTCATCTTTCAGCATTACCTGCTTAAAACGGTATTTTTTGTTTGTTTGCAGTGTCCCAAAGCTACTACAGCTCAGTCCTAGCTTTCTAAAGCTCTCAGTAGTCACCTTAATCTTTGCTTTTCTCCCTGAGCATCCCAGCGTGTTTGCCTCCCCCTCTCCCTCTCCCTTCCTTCTTCACCTGCTTTCTCAGAATGCTTCAAGGCAGTGGGTTTTCCTTGGCCCTTTCCATCACTCTAAGCCCAGTCACCAGTTCTCATCCCCCCCTCCACTTGCCTGTCTATGCCAGTGCCTCATCCTCATCCTCCTCTTCCTCTGTTCCCTGGGGCCACCATAGCTCCTGGTGCCCTGCTCCTGCCCATCCTCCCCAGCGAGGGGCTGCAGCCTCTGAGAGCAGCAGAGTTCCCACTCCACAGCACCAAATCCCCAAACCTACCTGACCCACGTAACAATTCCACCTCCACCTCATCTCCACCCATGGCCCCTTTCCTCCCACTGCCCACTGCAAGGCGTGGCACCACCCTGTGCCATTCTCACTTCAGCTTTGAAGCTTTAATTAGTAAAAAAAAAATAAAATAGAGGATGCTCCTATAAGAAGTCCCATACAGACACACTCCCTGTCCAGTGCCCCAGCTCTGTTAAGCAGCATGGAGATGAGGTGCAAAGACTCCCGTGCTCTAACAGCTACGAGGGCTCCCTCCCGCTCCCAGCCCACTACACACATCCTCAGCAAAGAAATCACGAGAGGGAAAGCTGACTGAGCTTCAGGCACTGTCACGGTGGGCTGCTGCTGCTTTGCTCAGGAAGGGTCCCAGGGCAGTTCCCCGGGAAGGTCCTCTCCAGCCCCTGCGTCCCCGCACGGCCCACGGGCATTTCCGTGATGGGCATTAGGGGTGTCGAACAGAGAACCTGCAAACAGTTCGTGTCCTGCCTGCCCCTGCCCGGCTTTGTCACATTTGTCCTGCCGGGGTGATGGCTGGGGGTGCCCGCTGAGCAGCCCTCTCCTCCCTGCCCTGGAGCTCCCAGCCCTTGCGTGACAAGGGAGCACCTGAGTTTTGGAAGACTGGGAGGAGTAAAAAGAAAAACAGGGGAAGCTTTTATGTTTCGAAGCATGGGATTAATCTCTGTAATTTCTGTTAAAACGCTATAAAGTGACTGGGGTTGTTTTCCCCTCAGAATTACACATACACACAGAACTTAACAAGAATACAGTGGGATAAATATACTATGCCCAGCACTCAGATGATGCCATCAAGCACATTACCCACTTCCAACACCAGAGAGTTACGGGCTGTGGCATTGCATTTGTATTGACTCCTGTCAACAGGCAGCAAGTGGGTCAGTGGCTTTGCCAGTAGCTCCTGTGGCTCCCATTTACAGACTGGCCTGGACACAGCTCTGCTGTCAGACGCAGCCCGTTGCTCTATGGCTGGCGCTTGTCCCCTGGCACTACACGGAGAAGCAAAGGGATGTTGAATTACATCGTTAAGAGGGAAGAAAGCTTGTAAAAATTCTCTGCGTGATTTGCTCATGACTTTTTGCAGCTTTCTGCCAGCGCAGAATCGTGGCTGGGCTGACCCTATCTGAGACACCAGTATCTGCTCCCATTAGGGTGACAAGTGGCCTTGAAGGACAAACTGAGAGCAGGTGGGATTTCTCCAGTCACTGGCCCCCACCAAGAGTTAAAAAACAAGGGTATTTTCCTGCTGCTACTGAACAGGGCTGCTGCGCAGTAAAAATGCTGCTGTGCCCTCCCTGGGACAAGTCATCCGGCTGTTGGCAGGGACCTTCAGAGTAAGCACAGCAATCCCACCAGTGGGTGCAGCAGGGGCCGTGGCACCCACTGTCCCTCCCTGGACACCCCTTGCCCCTGCCATGGCTGCTTGTCCCTTCTTGTTCACGCATAATGTCCCAGGTAATTCCTGCCACATCTGCAGCCAAACACCTCATGGCACGCCAAAACAGCAGCCCCAGACTTGTCACAGGACGATTTATGACAAAGCAGGGGCCAGGAGGAGCAGGGGAGGGGACAGAACATGGCCGGGCCATGCAGCGGGGACACCAGGCAGGGACTGCATGAGGGTCCCATGCAGGGACAGGGATTCCCAGCAGCAGGGACAGCAGGGACACAGGCAGAAGCATGTATGGGAGTGGCAGCGGCAGCAGTTTTAGGGGCAGGAACTCAGCAGCCTCCTGTGCCAAAGGAGGCTCTTCCCTCACCGCCAGATAACAAGATTAGTAGCAGCACATCGTGAAAATGCAGCCGGGCGCTGCCCATCGCCACACAGAAACTGTGCCCTTTGCAGGCAGGGCTGACCATGGACTTTCTCTGCCCCTCCCCAGGTACGAGCACACCATGTCCCTGGGTGGATGAAGGCTGGAATGCAGAGCAGGCAGCGGCCCAGAGAAGTTTCCACTGCACGTTCATCTTCTAAGATGTGGCTCAGGCCCAGCACACGCAACACATCACCCCAAATGCCCCCAAGTCTACATCCATGGCACCACCAGCAGTGTTGGAACAGCTGATGGGAACAAAACGGATCCTGAGGTGCACACAGCCACATTTCACCAATAACCAAGGTCATAAAGCAGCATTTTGTTATGTATAGGCACACACATGTATGCACAAACTATGCAATGCAAAGCTGCTGTCCTTTAACACTGCTGCCCATTCTGTTGAGATGCCTGTCAGCAGCACCCAGCACATTCTGGTTCAGCTCTGATGTAGTTTTTCCAGGTAGAAAACCTCACCTCTCTTTCTGCCCCTTCCCCTTCCCCAGCAACACCGCTTCCACAGAGCAGTTTCCATAGCTTTATACCACAGCTCTTGCCCGAACAAAGCTAAGCCATACGTACCCACCGAGACGCCCTTGTCCCCAGAGACGTGTGTCCTTTTTCCTGGTTTCTTTATATGCTCTGGGTGCTCCCTAGCAAACGACCTCTGCTCCCTCTGGCTAACAGACCAGACGCCGGCTCAGGTGCTGTTTTGTGCAATTGCAGCTTGCGTTGCTGCAAGCTCGCTGCCACTTCTGGCGAGCTCCTGCTGCCAACCCCTCACCTTTCCCCACCGCAGCATCCCGCAGGCCCGGAGCCCTGATGGGACACACCACTTTCCATAGCAATTTTCAGAGAAGGGTGGTTTGCATTCGGGCTCCTGCACTACCTTAAGCTGTATGCCCCTGCGGGTGCAGCGCCTTTCCTTTGTTAAACCTCAGCATAGAATCACAGCACCATCCAGGCTGGAAAAGACCTTAAAGATCCTCCAGTCCAACCATTAACCTCACACTGACAGTTCCCGACTCCACCAGATCCCTCAGCACTGGGTCAACCCGACTCTTCAACCCCTCCAGGGATGGGGACTGCCCCCCTGCCCTGGGCAGCAAGAACTGACTGTAACTTCACTGGGTGACGCAGGCGCATGATACTTCTCTCCTTCTCTCCATATTCCTCCGCCTTTACCTCTCTTTGGTTAAAAATTAGGTTTTCTGTATTTCCAGGGATCATCCAGGTCATCTGAGGTTTAAGCAGGTGGGAGTGCTGCAGTGCAGGCCCACACACCCCTCCATCACTGGCAGAGCCTTTACCTGCTTTTTACAAGGTTTGTGGTGAAGGTGAAGGCAAAGGCGGGGTGGGGGGGAAATATCGTATTTCCCTTAGAGAGTGAAGCTAGGGGAGATCTGTAGGGATCAAAAACCATTCAGCATCCCTGGGAGAGTGATGGAGGGAGGGTGGGTGTAACCTCTGCCTTTTGGAGGGAGAGCGTGTTGCTCACAGGCAGGCTTGCTTTGCCCGGCCGTGGCCAGGAGATAGCAGGGCTGGACCACGGAGGGCACTTGGCCAACCCACAACCCAAACAAATCCGTACTCGCAGGCGGGTGGGAATTCATGCTCAGGTTCCAATAGGGGAGCGTGTCACTGCAAAACAGGAGGTGGACTAGTGCCAGGCAGCCAAAAATCCCCGTGGCTTTACATTCAGAAAGGTGAGACTGGCCAGCCAGCAGCCCTGGGTGGCCATCTGGGCCACCACAGCAGGGTCAATTTGGCACTCAGTGGCCTGCAGCCATAACCTGCCTGCTTGAAGCCCCAACTCTGCCCCAGACCACAGAATCCCAGAATCATGTCGGTTGGAAAAGCCCTTGAAGCGCCTCCAGTCCAACCATGAACCTCACCCTGACCGTTCCCAACTCCACCAGATCCCTCAGCGCTGGCTCAGCCCGACTCTTCAACCCCTCCAGGGATGGGGACTCCCCCCCTGCCCTGGGCAGCCCATTCCAACGCCCAACAGTCCCTTCTGCACAGAAATCCTTCCTCAGAGCCAGCCTGACCCTGCCCTGGGCAGCTTGAGGCCATTCCCTCGGGGCCTGGTGCTGGTTCCTTGGCTCCAGAGACTCATCCCCCCTCTCTGCACCCTCCTGTCAGGGAGCTGTAGAGGGCCAGGAGGTCTCCCCTCAGCCTCCTCTTCTCCAGACTGAACCCCCCCAGTTCCCTCAGCTGCTCCCCAGCAGACCTGTGCTCCAGACCCTGCACCAGCTCCGTTGCCCTTCTCTGGACACGCTCAAGACATTCAATGGCCTTTTTGGGGTGAGGGGCCCAAAACTGAACCCAGTCATCGAAGTGTGGCCTCACCAGTGCCGAGTACAGGGGTAAGATCCCTTCCCTGTCCCAAGCAGAAGTTGCTTTTCCAAATTTTACAACTTGGATGAGCAACACTTACTCCTCCTGTCTATTAAACATCCTTTCTAAAAGCGAGCAAATAACAAAATACTAATGAAAATTTTCCTCTGTAGTGGGCACAAGGAAATCTCAGCTGCACCAGGGGCTGCTGACACGGACAGAGTGGGAGAAGGACGGGTACTCTCAGGCAGTGCAAGAGTGACACACACACACACACACGCACAAATTCTGCTGTTTATTCATGGTATTACTCTGGGAAGGGGGAACAAAACATTATCAAGGCAAGCCCTGTGGTACGTTCCCCACCAGCCAGGGCAGAGGGCACTCCTGCCCACAGCAGCTCCACGGGGCACAGTGAGGACGGCAGCATCTGCAACAGGACAGGAGGGTCAGGGAGCAGGGCCGCGCCTCGCTGCACCGCCCATGTCCCCCCAGTCCTGCACAACGTTCCCAGCAACATTCTACCGTGGGACAGGTCATTCTTGTCACCTGTCCACAGCCATTTTCCCACTGCAGCCACCCTGTGTCCGGTGTTGGCAGGAGACTCCGCGAAGCTGCTCGGCTGCGTGCAGCAGCGGCTTTATAAACCAGCGCCAGCACGCCCAGCTTACCAGAATATGCCCAGCTCCTTCCTCCGGTTGATATCTCTCTTCAGCTGGCAAACGGAGCACGTGAGGCACCATATGGTGGTACAGAAGTCAGAGCAAATGGATCCCTGTTAGGAAGAAATGGGTTAGGGATGTAGGCTATCCAAAAGTCATGTTTTGGCCAAGAAAAGGTTAATCACATTTCATGTAGTGTGCCCTTTGTTTCCTGGCTGGCTGCAGTATCCCAAGGAGCAGACACTAAAAAGCGGGGCTGGTGAACCTCACAACAGTGGAAAGGCAGGAGGGAGTCCTTTCTGCATGCTGCAGATAGCGACTTACCTTCCAGTTTCTGCAATTAAAACTGGGGGGGAAAACACAGAGAAAGAGAATTTGTGCAAACTGGACTTGGGCCACTATGGTTTGCACTGGGGGCAGTACAAACCCCCGGTGGGAAGAAACCACCGTTTCACATAAGTACACCTTCCTCCTGCTTCTGATTACAGATGCTTATCTGTGCAACTGACAATCTGTTCTTTAGTCTGACCGCAATTCTCTCAAATCCTTCCCATTTTTCAAAGATTGGGGGTGGCATGGGGAAGCAGCAACTGAGATTCTACAAGCCACTGTGGTCGGTGGCAGCTGAATGCAGGACACATGCACCGCGTAAAGGATGCTGGGAGGGAGCTGTGACCAATTAATGCGTGTTGTTGGACACCAGCACAAGGTTCAGTGTGGCCGAGGGCATCCCAACCCCTGTCCTGTGCTCCTGGCATCATGCAGGATACAAAAGTGAAAAAAAAGGGCAAGCGGTGAGTGCTGCTGCCCTGTGCTCATCCCTGGTATGCAGAGAGAGGGGTCTCAGGGGCACCTCCTCTTTCAGCCTCGCAGCACGGTGAGGGGGCAGGTTAACCACTGACCGGGATGTTGTATCTGGTGCGGTAGAGCGTCCTCATGGCCACGCTGGTCCCGCACATGCAGCACTCATTCATGTCCCCGGCCACTTGGCAGGCGAGGCAGGGGAAGCAGAACAACCCACAGCAGCCTGGCAGGGGGAGAAACACAACGGTGGATGAGGCTCTGCCTGCCCGCCCAGCACCGCCGGCATCGGGGCAGGAACGGGGGAGGACCAAGCTGCGTGTCTATAGCTATCACACCACCAACCCAAGTGGCAGGGGTGAGAAAAATGTCCCACGAGGGCGTGGGACACTGCTGACGGCTGAAGGATGGGACTGCAGGAGGCACTCACAGACACCACAGTCGCTGCAGCAGTCCATCAGCCCGGTCTGCCACATGTTCCTCGAAGCAGCAGCCATGCCGTACTGCGGCTGGACTGTCACGACGGTTGAGACGGCCATTTCTGGTCACTTTTCTGAAAGAGACAGCAGGGGAACAGGACAGTTAGGGAAAAAAATGTGGTCAGTCTGATCCCCCAGCCGAGCTGGTTGCCACTGCTCTTCAGCAGGCAGTCTTTCACCCAGCTCCCTTGATGCCACTGGAAGTGACAAAGCATAACCACATCTTACCTGAATTAGTGTCTTTCCAAGGTTTTTGCATTTTCTGCCATTTTATCCAACCTTCAAAATAGCATCAGACCACTGACATTCCCCACTCCACCCCAGAAAGCCTTTGCTGGTGCTTAGACACAGCTGACCAATTTCCCTCACGCCAAGCAGGGCTGGGCAGTGAACCTAGGCTAAAGCCAGTGACTTGGGCATTTTGGTTGTTGAACTTGGCATATTTTACACATTTGGCACAGGTTCAAAGCATGCGGGAAGCAACTGTGCTCTCACATTTCTTTGTAACGCAGCCAGGCTCCACAGGAGAGATACCGTAGAAAACTATTATGTCCAATTTCTTGTCACAGAGAGCCAGAAAGGCAGACACTCAATGCTATGTCCAAAGTCCAAACCCGAGTCCTTGCCTTCCTGCAGTTAAAAGAGCAAGTAAATCTTAAAACCCAGTAAGCCTCATGTCTAATAAAACCAAAAGTCTCTGTGTTCCTATCTTCCCAGCAATAGTGTTACAGATTGCCATTCATTTGTTATTGATTTAAGTGGATGATTTTGGACCTTACAATGAGAAATAATCATGATTAAATAATTGAATAGAATTTTATAAGAATATTAGTTTTATTAAATTCAGAGAATAATAAGACCGCATGGGCCACAAAGTTCAATAATTATTAATCCTGAAATAATGCTTTACTTTTTTGCATGTGAAAAGGTAGAATTTTAGGTAAGATTAATAGAAATTAGAGAAAATGAACTGTAACAACCCGCCTATGTCTGCCAAGTTATGAAGAAAGCAGGTAAAAGGCAATTCCGACTGGGGGAGATCGGGACCGCTGACTCTTATTACACCCCAGATTCATTTCTAGATTCTACTGCACAGAATCGTAAATAGGTGGGAAATATAGAAATGATTTCCAGGAATTAACATGTTTATGTATGAGCACTTGATTAAAATGTATTGTTGTATTCTACATAATCTGTATGTTATATGAATTAGGTGTGCGTTGTTGGTGAGACAAGTCCCCTTCGCTGCTAATAAAGGAATGTCTGCTTATCTACATCACACTGGTGTTGATAAAGTCTTTATATCGGTTTCGGTAACAATAGAAAGAATAATTTTTGTCTAACACCACCAAATCAGTTAAAAAAGCAAGTAATCAGGCCTAATAAAACCAAAAATCTGTTTCCTGTTCCCCCAGCAATAGGAAACGTAATTTTGTGTATTTGACTAGAGAGAATTTTTGTGTAAAAGACAGCACCAAAACACTCTCAGATAACAATTCAAAGCAAGTTTTGCCTCAAGGCCAGGTACTTCTAGCTGGCCAGGTTCTTCTAGTTATGCACAAATAGAGGAAAGGGGAAGAAAAAGACAAAAAAAAAAAAAAAAAAAAAAAAAAATAAACTGCTTGCTCACATTCACCGAGACTTTTTCCTTCAAATTGGGTTGGTTTTTCTGTTTTCTTTTTAGAAATAGCAGCGTGGCAACGGCAGAGCCATGCTGCTGAGTGGACAGGCTGCTCCCCACCCAGTTTCTGAGCTCAGAAACGAAACTGAACTGAAGTGGGCCATGCTGGGCGCGGGGAGGGGAGGGGCATCCTCCCTCTCCATCCTTTGGAACAAGGATGGCTCCTCCAGAATTCCCACTGCTTGCAGCACTGGGCAGCCTGCAAGCCCGGCAGCGTCAGGGAAGTGTCCAGAGGGAAATTGTGAGCCAGAATTGCCTCGGAGTGCTTCCCTCTCCCAACCCACAGCAGATTTACCTCTGACTGGTAAATCTCACTACTTTCTCCACTTTTACAAATGCACAGTGTTCTCCGTACGAGTCTTAATCACATATCATTCTCTTCGCTGCAAACATTCATGAAGAGACTGCAACATGAAGATGCTCTTGTCACCAATAGCACACCCCGTTGAAAAGGACAGCAAATGCTCAGGGAAATCAGGCAGCAGCATATAAAAGCAACTACATCCAAGCTTCTGGCAGGACAGCAGCTACATCCAGCACATCCTCAGAGCCTACCAGAAAACACGTGCAACTAAGCAGCCTTGCTAAAAGGAATTTAGGCTTGAGCACCCATGCAGACAAAAGAGACCGATTTCAACAGAGAGCAAAGTCACAGCCAGATTCCTTTAACGCAGTGATAAATTCTGGTAGCAGGAGAAAGCAGGGAAAAAAAAACAAAAAAACAAAAAAAACCCACCAAAACCACACCTCTCCATAATCCAGTTTTTGTGCAAAGCTTTTTAAAAGCTCCCCCCCCCGCCCCCATCCCAAGTAGGATTTGCCATATATTTTGCTTTAAATTATGTGCTGAGTAGGAAAAAATTTAAAAAAAAACCCACCAAACCTCTACTTTTGCACTATTATCCCACTCTCCCAGGCTAACAAGGTTTTACTATTTTCATGATTTAAGAGAACCAACCTTGTGGTGAGCAGCCTCTGTCTGTGCAGCCTTCCTTGGCAGCTGGGACCCTGCACAGCGTGGCTCTGGGGAAGATGAAACTAAACTGAAAACTGAAAGCTCTGACTGGTATTAACTGTGGGAGGTAACTGGAGGGGGAAGTCAGGAGCTGTGCCTTCTCAGTGTAACTACGGGATTAACACACATGCAGAGCACAACTTTTTTTTTTTTTTTTTTTTTTTTCCCCCAGAATGAAATAGACTGCTTTCATCTTTTTAAAAAATGGTTGCATGCATATTGTCTTATTCACTTAACTGTGAGTGCATGTGTTTGTTGTTTGGGGGAGAAGAGCTTTGAATAATGTGCATCCTTTGGGATAGACATTTTTGCAACACTTTTTTCCCCCAGAGAAAAAGTATACTTCTTGGATTTCAGACCAGACTAAATGAAGAGCACTTCAGGGTGCCCCACTGAGCTTTTCCCTCCCCTCAAGGAAAAATTCTCTCTGCCACCTGCAACAAGTGTGCTCCCTGCTCCTTCTTTGGGGATGCATTTGGGGTTTCATTTCTGAATTAGTAAATATACCCCATGTGGAGGCTTTCTATAAAAATTAGCCTGATTCCCTAAGTGCTTGTCACAAGCCATGTAGCCCAGCTATTGTAAAATAAAATGAATCCTTACCATACATGCATCCATTCCTCTCTACGCAATACTGACTCGCGCAAACACGACTCCACAACCCCTAAGGTTATAAAGTCGGTGTGTTTATTCAGCGCTGAGGTGCACGGGGGATCGTTCCACCACAAACGTGCGCACCTCTAGTGGCACCTTGTCTTGGCTTTATGCTACAAAACATTACATATTCATAATACACCTATATATATGCATGACTTATCCCTGCTTCGTATTATAATGAGCCTGAAAGTCATCTTCATATTTTCTGCCCCGGTCTCCTCCTAGCTGCGTCTACACACTGTGTCCTGGTGGTCGTGGGCTGGGGTTGCAGAGATGAAGTAGCTCCTCTTCCTCTCTGTTGAACTTTTTCCCTCGGTTTCTTGCACAGTCTCTGTAGCTTCCTGGACTCAGGACAGACCATAGAGTTGGTTTTGACCAGTTTTTAGGGCTGTCTTCCTATTCCATCAGGAAGTGTTCTCTCACAGCTGCCATCAATCAAGGTTTCTATATTGTTCTGCTCTCTGGCCCATCAACTATGATGTATTATCCTATTTAATCTTAGTTATCGTTTTATTAATGGGCCTCTAGCCCCTAGCCTGATCTCTAAATCTTCCATCTTTAAGTTATACCTTAATTTCTTGAGTGCCTAATTTCTATATCCTATTTTAATTTCCTAGCTCCTCATCTCAATACTACTATTTACTATTTCTTCACTAACAATGCCACAAATATTTAACCGTTCACGCCCTGAGGGAGTCACTGACTGTTCTGAATGCATTTCCTTGTTCTGTAGAGAAGCTCTGACACCAAGACAACAGTTTTTGTTTCCCAACACGGTAACACAGAGTTTGCAGAGAGCACAGAATGGATCTGAGCATCACAAGTTCAAAGCATCCCATGTGAAGTGCTCACGGTGTGTTCCCCTTCTCTCTCTTGACCATTGACAAGAAATGGGAAAGGAGAAGTTCGGCTTACACTGCAACTCACCAGCTTTGTTGACAGGCCAGGATTTATGGTGCATTAAGTGGAGCCTTTTACCAATAGTGCTGCTGAGATAACAGTGAGCCCTGTCCTGAAATGCTCCCCTTGGCTTCCAACAGCTCCAAAGTTTAGCTGCAGCTGTCCCTGCTTTAGAATGGGGCTGCTTTGCTGACCCCTGCCTGGATCTACACTTCTTTTCTTTCCTTTTTTTTAAAAACATTGCAAGAGGCTGTGGGAACTGAAGTTTGTGAAAAGCTGTAGTTCAGCTGATGCTTTCTAGGAGAGGAGATACCAGACATCCCGCTGGCTGGGTAGACTGGCTTCATGCAAAATGCCAGTTAGCCTGGGAGTTTGCTGGGGAGGGAGGGAAATGGGAAGCTGAAAGGCACAGTCAGTATGGGAGATAACACATTAAAATAAAAGCCTGTCAGCAACATTTTAAAGATTTTTAACAGTCTGTCCTCTATTCAGAGCTGGGGTGGCACTGACTGCCTGAGCAACCGGGCTCTGCAAGTGCTTTTCTTCCACAGAAAAGCAGCCCACTTCTATCTGCAATCCTGGTGCATCAAAGCCCTTTGTCACCCTGAGCAAACACCACTATAAACACCTGCCTCAGCTGATGAGGTGCCCTTTACCCACCATTTCAGTCAGACAAAAAACCCTGCAAAAATCTCAACCACTGAAATCAAAACGCAAACTCCTCAAACTCACAGCAAGAGCATCACCCTCGCCCAGCGCCAGTCCGGAGCGCCCGTTGTCTCCCATCACAGGCGCTGTGGTTTCTGGCCAGAGCTCACCACGGGGCCTGGCTGGGACTCTGCCAGTGGCTGGTGGCCACAGGCCCCTTCACAGGCAGCTTCTGCAGGTCTGTGAAGTGGCACTGCGGGAAGAGAGGCAGTTGGCTGCACAGCATCAGCCACAGCATGACCTCAGGAGCAGAATGCCTCAGTAGCAGGGAAGGAGACGTTCTAACAAAACCACACCTGTAATGCCTTCTTCCATGTGGTAAGAATATTTCCAATCAGATAGTAGAAAAAATCAGCAGAAATGAATATTTAAACGAAGAAATTAACAGTCAGAATCCAACATAACTGTTAAGCAGGAATTCTTTATTAGCAGCGCCGGGGTCGCCGGGGATTCTCCACCATAAGGGCTCCCCCAAACTAGCAAGGGACATCAGTTTACATACACACAAATTATATATATTTGTTAGATTTCCTGGAAGGGGGTGTCTTCTGATAATAAATTCCCAGAATTCATTTACATAGTCCGAGCATGGCTGTGAAGTAAAGTCCAGATATTTTCTTCCTAAATCAGGAGATCATCCTCCCTAGATTGTGTCTCTGTGTCCTTTTGTTCGAGTTCCCCTTATCTCAGTTTGCCCAAGTGCCCACTGAAGGCTGCCATCAGTGAGTTATACAGGGAGCATTTTACTTTTGTGTAGACAGACAAAGAGGCCGAGGAAAAACAGTTGAGGAGTCCTTGGGAAACAAACACAAGCAAAACTTTTATGCATCACAGTTCAGTCTTAATCAAAAATTCATTGGTTTGAGCCCTTCCAATATTCACCAATTTAATATGTATTACAGTAAATGCAATTTCAATAAAGATTCAGGAGTGCAGATTAAAACAAAAAAATACTCCCTGAGCACATTTTTGCTTTCTCTGCAAAGAATAAAGTGTAAATGATGCAGTCTACCGTTGTGTTTTACAAAGAAGTGGCAACCAGGAATTAGTTTATTCCATTTTATGCCAGTGCCATCCATATGCAAACATTCTCACCTATTCTCCGTACCATTTGATACAAGTCCATCACGCAGTTTAAGACACTACCACAGATGAGCAAAGCCACCTTCCCCAGTATGCTGCCTTATGCTCTTTGTTACACAAACCCTGGCGTCTCAAGTGGTGAGAATTGGGTTTGTTCAGAGAGGGTCTGCTGTACGCCCATGGGTGTGCAGGGCAGGGGGGGCTGCCTGGCGGAGAAGGGTGTCTGGGGGGGCCTCTCTCCAACGCTCTGGTTTCCCCAACCCTTGCAAGAGACAGACTGACCTCAGAGTTTCAATGGGGTTTTGTTTCAGGCACGGGAAAGGGCTTATGCATCTGAAACTTCTTGGGTTTTTTTCCAGATGTCTCAGCTGGTTCAATAGAGGAGCAGCTCTCCCCCAAACCTTGCCTCCTTCCCACAACTTGGAATCACAGAAGTATCAAGGTTGGAAAAGACCTTCAAGATCCTCCAGTCCAACCATTAACCTCACACTGACTGTTCCGAACCACCAGATCCCTCAGCGCTGGCTCAGCCCGACTCTTCAACCCCTCCAGGGATCCCGGGGACTCCCCCCTGCCCTGGGCAGCCCATTCCAACGCCCAACAGCCCCTTCTGCAAAGAAATCCTTCCTCAGAGCCAGCCTGACCCTGCCCTGGGCAGCTTGAGGCCATTCCCTCTGGGCCTGGCGCTGGCTCCTTGGCTCCAGAGACTCATCCCCCCTCTCTGCCCCCTCCTGTCAGGGAGCTGTAGAGGGCCAGGAGGTCTCCCCTCAGCCTCCTCCAGACTAAACCCCCCCAGTTCCTCTCTTCATAAGATGACTCAGGCAAAAGGAAAATCCCTGCAACTATAAAACCCAGAGGAGAAGGAGCTGAGCAAGTGCTAGGGGAAATTTTCACAGCCCTTAGAAATACAGCTAAGGGTCAGGTTCACATCTCAACAAAACCAAGGTGACTGCAGTTGGCACAAGGCAAGACCCGTTCCCTTCCCACATCTGCGCGTCCCTTGTCCCTCCCATGCCAGGGACACCGCACACAGTGGCGTGGGTCCGCTCACCTGGCTGATCAGGCAGAAAACGGTGCAGGGGTTATGGCTAGGGAGTGCATTGCCACTTGGGCAACCGGCCCAAACCCCTCATGCCATGGACACTCAAACATGAGGTCCAGCGCACAGTGGGGAGCTTACGGCTGGGGCCAAGGGTGTCACCTACTTTGTAGCAGCTCACAGCCACGACATGTCACCAAAGGAAAGCAGAAGGAGACATGGTTTCGCATCCATTTTCAGTGGCACGCTAGCTTGGGCAAAGGTTTGTCACAAGATGCTTCACACAGCCTGGCTGAGCTTCTTCCTCTGCTCATCTGTCATTTTTCACCATCTCTTCAGCAGTGCCACTTCCTCTAGAAGTGAAACTTCATCTTAGGAGCTCACCAGGTAAAAAACAACTGAAGTAAAAATCATCAATCAAATCAACTTTCTTGTAACAGACTGGTCCAATTTGTTAATATTGGAATTTTCTACTTCATTAACCCCCTAACTCACAAATTCACTGACTTGCCCCCGCGCACAAGCCGAAGTGCTACCAGAGGGTGCGAGTGCAGGTCCTCCTGTCCCCATCCCCATCCCCACATGGTGGTGGCGAACAGGAGAACCTCTGCAGTCTGGCTGCTCTTGGGCCAGCTCCAGGGGC